CTCTCTCTCTCTCTTTCTCTCTCTCTCACACACACACACACACATGCACACACACACACACACACACACATACGTACACACACTGACAGACACACCCGTTCGGTAATCGGATGGATTATATAAACATCTAATAATATTTTCAAATGGAAATCTAAGGGATGTTCATCAAAGACAGCTGTTTAGAAGCATAATAACATTGTCTTGGGTTGTCATCTTGATGACTTTTAGAAGAAAAAAAAAGAAAGAAAAACACATTTTCCCAACCTTGTTCACGGGGTATGTTATTGTCTATTCCTCTAGTTTACACAAAACTTTTTCAAAAAACTAAACTGCAAATTTGTGTTAGTACTAGCATGTCTGCAGGTGCCGTGGCGGAGCAGTTAGTACGCTCGTCTCAGAAGCGGAAATTCAGGGTTCGAGCCTCGGTTCGGACAAGGTTGTTTTTTTTCGCCCCCCCCCTCCCCCCTACCCACCCAGCAGTAATGAGTACCTGATTTCGAAATGGGGAAGTAACAGCGGCGTGGAAAGGAACTGGCCACCCTACCACAATATAATGCGGAAGGCCCCGGAAGTTGTCTCACTAACAAGGCAATCCCCAATGACCAGGTCGGATGCCGGAACAACTTTACTTTACTAGCGTGTCAAACTTACCTCCACATTGTACTCTACAAATAAAACGTCTCGTACTTTTGTGATAAACATTCAGGATTTTAACGTCCTATCGACACAATTTAGTTCATTTTGGAGGCGCGCTGCTTCGACCCTGCATGTCAGGGCCAGCCAACCCTGGCTGAGAAGGAAATGTGAAGTGAGGTGACAAAAGGAATTGCTTCTCGGATTCAAACCTTTAGGAAATAGATACACCACGCTAACAGGTGAAGTTTTTACAATTTGTAAGTATGAAATAATAAAACACAGGTTATAGTTGAAGAATATGGCATTAAATAGAAAATCTACAAATTTGACCCTAATTTCGATTTTTGGCTATAATATCCATTTGTGGATTGCGAGAAGTAACTCATTTTGTCAGCAAACCTCACAAATAACGTCCACGCAGAGAGAGAGGCTGTGAAACTTGATTTTTTTAAAAAGACACTAAGAAGACAAAACAAAAAAACTTACTCATTTGGGCATCGCACTAGCCCCTTCAAAGTGCGATGGTAAATCGTTTCACTACAACACCACAGACACAGGTGCAGTTTATATTAAAAACAACATCAACAACAACAATGACAACTACAACAACAACTACAACAACAACAATGCAACAACAACAACAACAACAACAACAACAACAACAACAACAACAACAAAACAACAACAGCAGCACTATTAAAATTTCTAATAACTATATAACGGTGGGTGGTTAACGGGTGCTATCGTGTGTTTTGCTCCTTTTTTCCTATCAAACATCTACCATCTTTATTTCCCACCCACCCCCCCACCCCTTTCCAACCTTTATTGTTGTGTTGGTTACTCTCTTATAACACCTCTAATCTTCGGTACTCATACTATGACCGTATTGTGTTGCAAGTGCCGTTATAAACTTAAAAATTTTTTTTTTTAAAGAAAAGATAGA